TCCCATCTGTGTTTTAATTGCAACTGATGAGCACAGCTTCCTTGACAGTATTTTTGAACAGCCACCAAGCTGTGTGGGTGCTGGGCCCGAACACAACACTTCAATGCAAAATATCAGTAACATCTCCACTTGGGGAGGTCAGTGATTTCTACTCTAATTGAGTTCTAGCTCAGTGTGACTTGTGACCTGCAAGGACAACCTTTTTGCAAGCCTGGACAACAGAGATTGGAAAGTTAAAGGGCAGAAACTAGAAGGATCAGTGAGAGTCGCAGAGGTTTGGCCAAGAATCACAGAATCATAGAGTATGTCAAGTTGGAAGGGATCCATAAGAATCATGCAGTACAAATCCTGGCCCTGCTCAGGACCATCCCCAAGAGTCACACTATGTGTCTGAGAGTATCACCCAAACACCTCTTGAACTCTGGCAGGCTTGGTACTGTGACCACTTCCCTGGCGAGCTGGTTCCAGCACCGAACCAACCTTCGGGTGAAAAATCTTTTTCTAATATCCAACCTAAACCTAATGTTCCAAAGAGGAGACACTATTCCAAAAGAGCACAGCATAGACAATGAAGCTTTTTTAGGGCAGATGGAAGTTGAGACTATGTTATGTCATCTGTTTTATCCATGATATATTTCTAAAAATTCTTAGCAACAAGTGCCCTATACTGTTTCTCCCTTCTTGAAACTGCTTTATGTAAGCTATCTTTAATTAAAATGAGCTTTTCCATGTGTCCACAATTGATTCCTTAAAATATTAATAATTTTCCCTACATTGAATATCAAAGCCATTACTTTTTCCTGTGTATCCTTTAACTCTATTTAAATAATTCATTTATCCATTTTCCATCCCTCAGGGAGACCCTTTTTTTTTTTGTTAATACAATGTGATCGCATTTAAAAAAGAGGATATTTCCTCCTCCTAAAGATATAAGATATTTTCTTTCTTTCCAGTGTTTATTCAGCATAAGAATCCAGTTAGCAACCATTTTATTAAGATACAAATGTAGCATGGAAATATGTGTCTGCCTGTGTACAAATGCCCTTTCCACTGCTCATCAATCTTGCACTAATTAGAAAGACAAAAATATTTTAAAACCAATTAATGTCACTGAGAAACATTCCAGTAATTCTCAAAATACAGTGTAACTATGATAGATACATTTCAATTATTTCAAAGCATTTTCTCAGAGCACTGAGTAAGCATAAGGGAAAGGAAGGGGCTAAGAGCTGCATTACTTGGCTGCTGAATCTCTGACATAGGATGTGGATTAAGGTTTAAGTGAGACCAGCAGTTCATGTTCTCTCTCAAAAAGCTCCAGAGTCACCTGATTAAAGTGCAACCTTGACAAATATGCACAGCATTGTCTCTCACAGTTGGAATCACCAAAGAGGCTAAAAACAGCACCATGAGCTGCATAATCTCTAACCTCAGGGGACAACAAAAACAGAGAATTGCTGTGTCAATCTCATTTCCTTGTTAGGCTCATTATCATAAATGCAGGCCTTTGGTTTTGAATGCCACACTTCAATAACATTTACCTATCAACAGCTGCTGAAATATTGAATTCCACAGTCATCTTTTCCTTTTGATGCTTTCCCTTTTGTTTCTTTATCCATAAACATGAGCAACTGAGCTAAGCTTAAATTAACTAGCTGGGGTTAAATGTTTAGGGCAGCAAATTATGGCTAGCCTGCTTGCAGAGTGGTTTAGATTACAGAGGAGAGTTGCCAATCTTAGCTCTCATCATGCACTCCAAACGTGCAGAGCAATATTGGCAGTTCATGGCCAAATCCTGCATGCTTTAGTTATCACAGGAGCACTGCTCCCATGAATAAGTGGAGTAAGATTTAGCCCCAGCTCAGAAGATAGAGATGAATCACACTTTTATTCTTTGAGTACCTCACGGTACCTTCAACACAGGCATGTTCAGTGATTGATAGTCTGTGTCTAGATTGGGTATTTTTCTATATACTGACAAATATTCTCTTAGCGGTGGTTTCTAGGAGCAGAGGAGTATACACTGCAGCAATGTTGGGTTTCTTATTTTTCATTGTGCCCTTTGTCTTTGTTTTGATTAGGGTTTTTTCTAAGGGTCAGTTACTTCCTATCATTTTTCCACTCTGAGTGCTCCACAATAATCCTGTTACAACATCTCCAGCCCTTATCATCAGTAAAACAGTGGAAACTTGCATCAGTAAACAGGTAGGGAAAGACACAACCTTCACTTCAGGGTCACATCCCAAGTGGTGGTACAGTCTAAGGGAAATGAAGGTGTTTGGCTTTCTGAAAATGAGCTCCTGGTATCAGCTAAGGCTTTTTTTTATTTTTATTTTTAGTTGATCAAGGCAAGGGCTATGTGTTAACTGTTTTTATCCAGTGCCCAATCAAACTGGGACTGTAATTCAGAGATAAATATTTGGTTAATAATAATTTTGTGATTACAATGCTGTTACTCTGAAGACCACTGGGGAGCTGTAGGCTGTGCTGCAGGGAGCAGCCACGGAAAGGGGCAGCCCACAACTACTCACAGCAGGCACAGCAGCATCTCCTCCTAATTTGACACCATTGCTTCACCCAGCCTATCACTTTGCCAGTCTAGGGCCACACTCCTCAGATGCAAAGGCACAGAGTCCTCCTCCAAGAGTGACTGCATACCTACAGAGCTTATGAGGAAAATGGTGTTTCCCTAGAAAAGGGTATCCCACAAAGGAAAAGGTGGGACCGCTGGGGTTAAGCACTTTTGTTCCACAGGACTGAGCTGCAGGAGCCCCTCGGGCTAGGCACGACACACAGTCCTTTGGCCATAGCATGATAGTCCCTTGTATGAAACTCAGGGGATGTCACAGAAGGAAAGGGGGAGACACCAACACATTTTTTAGGTCAACATACCCAAAAGAATCACTGACAGCAAAGTAGGGGAAAAGTTGAGCCTTCATAAAAACAAACAAATGGGGTATTTTGGTGGTGATGGGCACTGTCAAAAAGCTCAGCAGAAAGAAAATCCAGTGCATATTCCATTTTCCTCACAGATGACATCCCTGTCTCATTTCAGTGGATAAACCTGCTCTTCTCTTCATATCCATAGAGATCCAGCATCTGCCTGATGAGCTGCAGGGACCCCAGTAAAGACGGCAGCTTGGAGAACATGATCTGCCACCCTTGGTTTTCTGTGTTTGTACAAGGTTCATGTCAGGCAAGGGCTGTTTCCTCCCACTGGGAGCTGAAGGGTAGGCATCAACACCAAAGAGTTGTGAGCTCCTAGGAAAGTAGTTGACACCTCAGCAGGTAATTTTTGGCTGTTTATTTGAATCTAACTATTAAGAGCCTAATATTAACTTTATACAATTTTAGTACTGACCTTTGAGAGCTGCTGGCCACAGCTGTAGCAGAGGCCAGTCAGATGAGAAAAGGTAGAGGACAGATTTTGTTTCTGAGTGGAAGCAGACTTCATCTCACACATATTTCCAGTCTCTCTTTTGCATTACAGCACAATATTTTTTTAAAGCACAAGTGATCAGAGACAGTCCGAAAACAAAAGATTTATGATTGATTTTGCTTAGGTAAAAAAGCGATTTCTATTACACTAGCCTTTACTTAGATGCTTTTGGCTCCAACAAGGAATCAATTTATTCTACTTGTCAAAAAAATCAAAATCAGAAACGGCCCAGCTCCTGGTATGCCCTGCATGAAAGAAATGCCCGGTTGTAGAACTTAGCTCCACTTTTCTGCTGTAGATGGGCTGTAGACCACAGGAGTTAATTACATCAATAAAGAAGGTTCGCTTTTCATTTCCAGCAAGCCAGACTCTGAGTAAATAAATAAAGCTGAAATGGGAGAGTGATGACCACAATAAGTAGCTGAAACTCCATGTCATGACAGAGGAATGATTTCCCATCCACCACTTAAATACAGCTAAGGTGTTCTGTAATTTTACTTCCACAAGCCAAAGGGTTTATTGTAATCCTGATAAATTATAGCAACAGAAGCAGGCGAGAAGTGGAACAGAAGAAGGAAAATGTTAATGCAAAATATAAAATTGTCTTGCAGAAAAGAATAGGGAGAGCAAGCAAGCGGTTTGTTATCATTTATTTTTCTTCAACGTATCATTTGGTTTCAGCTGTCTCCCATCTCACCCAGATCTCCACCATTTCTCAGAAACGTCTCTCGATGGCATCTCATTCTCCTCCTGTCTTTCACCAGCGTTTCATTATTTCTTAACTGTCCCTGAAAGGGCCCGGGCAGGCGGTGAGGGGGGAGCGGGCGCGGAGGGAGAGGGACCAGCCTGCGCCCCACGCGTCGGCCCCATTTAAGCAGTTTCCAAAAAGCGGGGGGTGGGGGTTGGGGGTGTGAACTGGGCGTTGCAAATAATGTTAAATGTGATTAATCTCCCGGATTCCTGGAAATCTGACATGCATGAGTTACAGCGAAACCTCTTTTATTTCGCCATGAAATGCTTTTGCATAATGAGAAAGAAAACGTCCTCTGTGCCCTAATCAACTCTGACAGGTCCTGGACTCCCAAATACTTTTATTTATGGCATTATTTATTTCACCCCTAATAACTGGGGAGGCGGGCCCGCGGCTCGCTCCGTGCGGGGAGAGGAAGGGAGGGAGGGAGGGAGAAAGGGAGGGATGGCCGGCCGGGCGGCGGGGCTCCGCGCCCGGCCAAGGGAACACAAAGTTTTTGCGGCGGCCGGCGCTCGGCAGGGCGGAGCGGGGCCGTTCCCCGCGGCCCGGCCGTGCCGAGCCGAGCGGTGCCGAGCAGAGCTGGAAGGGCTCCGCGGCCGCTCGCCCCCCGCTCTGCGGCTCACCTGCCCCGCGGAGGGGGCCCGGGGGCGGTGGCTGCCCCGCCAGCGCCCGCCTCCCACCCCGCTGCCATTAGCAGACATTACCCTAAACACTTGCCGGTCGCCGCCCGTCTCCCTCCAGGCATTGGCGCGGCCGCCTGTCAATCAGGCCGGCGCCCCGCCGCGCCGGGGCTCCGCCGTGCCACAGAGACGAGCCGCGGCGGCGGCAGACACAGCCCTGGAGCGGGGCCGCGCCGCGCCGGGGGAGGCGGCGGAGGATGGAGGAGGAGATGCAGCCGGCGGAGGAGGGGCCCAGCACCCCCAAAATCTACAAGCAGCGGGGCCCCTACAGCGTCCTGAAGACCTTCCCCGGGAAGCGGGCGGCGCTGGCCAAGCGCTATGAGAGACCCACCATGGTGGAGGTGCCCCGCGGGCGCGGAGCGGGGCAGCCCTTCCCGCACGCCGCCGAGCCGCTGCCCTACGCGTCGCACGGCCCCTTCCCCAACGGGCCCGCCCGCCCCGCCGCCGCCCCCGGCGCTGCCCAGGGCCACCCCCGCCCGCCGCCGCCGGCCCCGAGCTCCTCGGGCCGCTACGGCCCCTGCCCGGCGGCGGCGGGGGGCGGCGGCGCGGAGCTGAGCGCAGGTACCCGCAACTCCTCTCCTCCGCCGCGCAACTTCGCGGGGCACTTTGCAGCAGGCAGGAGCGGGAGGGGGGCTGCGGGCTCCCCTTTCCCCGACGCGCACGCCCCTCTCCCGGGCGGCCGGCGGCGGACTGACCCCCGCTGGGTCCTGGACTGGGGGCTGGCGGCGCCGGGCGCCCCGGGGCTGGGTGCGGGGGTCACGGGACGGGCGGCTGTGTCCGCCCGTCGGTCGGACATCGGCTGAAGTTCCCGGGGCGGGCGGGGAAGGGTCGCGGTGAGGGCTGTGCCACAGCCGCACAGGACTTGGCAGGGCGGGCGCCGCCGGCCGTGCGCACCTGCGGGAGGGAGCGCTGCTGTCACCGCTGCCGGCGGGGCGGGGGGCGGACAGGCGGGGAAACCCCGGGCCGGCCGCTCCGCCGGGGAAGGCGGCAGACTGGGGCCGGCTGCCGGAGGAGCTGCTGGTAATGGAGAGGCTGCTGATGGAGAGGTGGTGATTTTAACAGAAAGAAAATAGATCGGCTGCTTGCCTGCACCGTTTTCGTAAGATGCAGCGAGGAACAGGAGATCAAATTATTTTTATTTTTTCCTTCAAAGGTGTAAGATACCGTGATGCTGAACGTGTATCTTTCTTCTAGTGATGGCTTGGAGTTAAAAACCACGTAGATCTTGATATGCAACCTAAATTTGGCATCAGGAAATGGGAAATTGCATCTTTAAGCAGAGTACAATCAAAAATGAATTACAATAAATCCTATATAATTGCATAGGTCATTCTCTTTAATGAGATTTTATTAACCTGACTGTCAAGCTTTTGAGTCAGGCAGATATTTTATCTTCTTCAACTGATAAAAGTGTCAGCTATAAACCACCATATAAATATTCATAAATCTACACATCTGTGGCAGCCTATCAGCATCATTCTTTTGGACATTAAAAGCATTCTAATTACTTTCTGTCTAGCAGAGCTGAAATGCTGCCTGTTATAGTATGTGCTTGGCAGGCATGATTGCTTTTGTTTGCCATCACAAATAGCAGCATCCTATTTTATATACTGATGGTCCAGAATATAGTCAGGGTTTGACTGAACAGGATGAATATTATGAAGCACCATCTGGTTTTGATAACATTGGGTATATTAACTCATCTGTTAATTTTTGACACATCATTGATTTATTTATTTAGAAAAATTGGATCCTGTTTTGGTATGTTGCTGTTTGCCTTTGTAACAAATGTGATGACATTTCCTTACTAAACAGGGAGATATGCTAGTTAATAGGATATATGGCTATGTTTTAATGCCTGTTTTCACTTAGAAGCAGCCGTGTACTGGAGGAATTTATCATGTCTTTTTACAAATAATTCAAGTACTTTACCAAAAAAGTTTAATACTTGAATAGATTAACCAGAAAATTCACGTCTCTGTTGCATAGTTCTGTGATCTGTGGCAGAAGGTCATCTTTTTTCATGAAACTACTTCTTGAAATGCCCAAGTGGTGGTACTTAGGTATTCTGTGTGGCTCACAATCAGAACAGTGATGATAAATGTAACACCTACATTTCTTTACAAAAGCAGATTACACCATGGAAAACATTCAGCTGTCTGGTAGATGATATACAACGCCATATTCACAGCAAAGCCCTCTGGGCTTTGGTGAGCAGAAGTTTGGACTCTCTTCTGCCGGTGTACATTGTACTAACCAGGCACTAGAGCGGACTGCAGAGTTTGTCATTGATTCAGTCCCGTGCTAAAGAAAGAGATAGTTGAGGAATTGCCATTTGTGCACTGAAGTTCTTTGAAGTCTCTGCCCCTTCATCTGTACATTCAGGGTTTACTTTTACTTTTGGTTCCTAAATGGGTCCCAACATACCCTTTGCTCAGACTTAAGTACCAAGAGAAACAGCACAGGAGAAAACAAACCAAAAAACTTGTTACAGTGTGCGGAAGTGGGATTCTGTACAAGTTCTTACCAGAGGCTGATAGTTGTTACCAGAGGTGGCCCACGAAGGTAAGGTGACTAGAGCACCTCCCCTATGAAGACAGGCTGAGAAAGTTGGGGTTATTAAGCCTGGAGAAGAGAAGCCTGCATGGAGACCTTACAGCAGCCTTCTAGCATTTGAAGAGGACCCACAAGGAAACCAGAGAGGGACTCTTGAAGAAGAACTGTAGGGATAGGACAAGGAATAATGGGCTCAAAGGGGAAATTTAGGTTAGATATATGGGAAAAAATTCTTTACTGTGAGGGTGATGGGGCACTGGAACAGGTTGCCCAGAATCGTGGATGCCCCATCCCTGGCAGTGTTCAAGGCCAGGTTGAATGGGACTCTGAGTAACCTGGTCTAGTGGGAGGTGTCCCTGCCCATGGCAGGGTGTTTGGAAATAAATGAACTTTAAGGTCCCTTCCAACCCAACATATTCTGTGATTCTATAAAGCAAGAGGCAAGGTTTAGACCTCCTGGGTATTGTAATCCCAGAGGTAAGGGTCCTTCCCTGAGCTATGCACTGATCCTTCCTGCTTGGTGATGGAGTAATACTATGCACCTTTTGTTGGAGGAGACATAGTGTTGGTAAGCTGAGCAAGGAGCTAGTTGGGACCCCAGAGCTGTATGTATGTGAAGTACTCACATTGACCAGAGCCTTGAAATCCTCTTAACAAATGTGTGAGCCAATTTAGTAGCTCAAGATGCCTCTCGGGAGGCAGAGCTGGGGTTTTGCCCCTGAGGAGTGGGACCATTTGCATGTGTTCCATGCATAGTCACTCTGCACTTTGCCCAGCATCTCTGGGTTTCCCACAGGAGCAAGGGGCAGAGGCCCAGAACACGTCTTAGCCAGAGGTTCATCTCAAGTTGTGGCTGTTGTAGGGAGGGACAGGTCCTTCTCTTAGCAAGAGTCCAGCTGCATGTCCATTCTCCACAAGGCAGTCACCATCCATGACTTTTAGTTTTTCCATTAGCTTATCCCTGGCACTTGGCACGTAAACACTTGAATTAAGGAGTGGAGTGCTCTAGGTCATGGTTTTGTAGGGACACCCATTTCACTTCAGTTTCAGAGATCTTTTTGCTGATACTCTTCACCTGTGCAGGCAACAGTGAGCAATATGGCCAGTAAAACACCATTACTGGCATGCCTAACTGTGCCAGCAACTTAAACACTTAGCGCAGTTGGTTCTTAATCTTCAGCCATGGCATTTCTGGCCCCATGAGATTCAGAGCTCCAAGTTTGCTTTCCGGAGCAGGCACCTCAAACACAGCCACAAGTAAGGATGCTTCCATATTTTTGCAGCTTTTCCTAATGGTTACAGCTCTCACCAAGAGTGACTGGTTTCTTCCTCAGTCCCTCTCTAAGAGACTACCCTCACTTCCAGACTTCATCAGAACTGCAGGAAGACGGAAAGGAGGAAAAGCAGGTATTCTCCACCCAGTGCCACAGCAAAGAAAAATCTAGCTTGAGGTCCCATCATCTAGGGAAAAATCATGCCTGAGAAATGTCATCTTGCTACGAGAAATGCTGCACTGCAACACAACCCTTCTCTCTCCTCTAGTGAATAGTGGTTACTCTGACCGCTGCTGCTGCTGCGAGCCACACATATGGATGCATTCAAAGCCCCATTTTCTTACATGAAACATTAATTCTTTATTCTGATTATTTTCCTGCTATGAAGACAGTGTGTATCTTTGTCTTTGGTAGCATGTACGTTAAATAGTATTGTAATCCACCAAAGAAACTCATCTTCCTTAGGAAAGTGTGATGTAGACCTTACATTGGGGCTTAAAATTTGAGGTGGGCTTTCATGGAAATCAGAGAAGGAAGAGCAGAGCTGTCTTAGAGGTATTACCAGTGCCAGCAACCTGGCATATTTAACATGACCAGTTCATAAAGCTCTGTCCTGCCAAGACAGAAAAACAGTTTGTTAAGTGAACAGCAAAGGTGAAGATCCTTGTTTTGGCCTTAATTGAGGAGCTGGGAGCCCTCATCTGGAAGTACATCTGTCAGATCAGTACTGAAATGGCCAGACTGTCTCAGTGATCTTTATGCAAAATGCGCAAGAAAGCATCACATAGTCATGGGAGGTGTCAAATGGTCTCGGTTTTGTGACCCAAGTGTAGATATTTACAGCAGTGGTCATATCTAAAAACATAATGATAAAGTCTCTATGCTTAGATAAAGCCTACTTTGGGGTGTACAAGGCTGCTGCCCCAGGATCTCAATTAATAAAAATATGATTATAATCAAATCAAGAAATGCAAATAATCAGGTGAGAGGGCTGAATCACTTTAAGGTGAAGAGTGAGATGATTGAAACTGCTAAGGAACCTGGACTTCACAATCTTGCTGAAAATTAAATACCAATGAATACATTCCCTGCAGGGAAGAATGTATGGTATTCATAGCCACTCAATAGTTACAAAGATGACTTTTTAAACCAGCTGCCCAAGGATACCAAGGAAACTGTGGAAAAGCCACAACTTGAATCCAGAGCCATTGAGACCAAACACAATGCCTTATTAATAAAGCTGTCTGGTCTAAGTATTGAAAAGATACTTAGGTGTAGGAAAAGCTGAAGTTATACCTGCCAATTTTTCCAGACATCTTTTCTGATGCATTAGTGTAAATCATCAGATTGAGTTTCAGACATTTGCTCTTACTAAACCCTGTTTTCAGTCTGGCAGTTGAATAGCTAAGAGGCTCCCGTAGTTCAGCATCAATGAGAAAAAGATGTAAAGATGAATGCTGTATCTAGGAGTTGATACCTGATTTGCCATATGTATCTTCTGGTTGCTTGTAGTCTCAAATAATCTAGTTATGAATACTTATACTTTCAGCAATTTAATCCTGCTCTCTTAGTGCTTTATGGGCCTTATCCAGCAGGTCCACCTTCAGGCAAATGTCTAGTTAAAGTCAATAGAAGTTCTGTTTTGTAAAACTAAAGACTGTGGGGCCTGGGACATTAGAATTACTTGGTTGATGCTCATAGTAATAAGGAAAAGGAATATCACAATAAGGCTGTAATAAACTGTTTACCCTGTTTTAGTCCAGTGCAATGATTTCAATAGAATCCTACTTTCATAGAAGATACATACATTACATTAAATCAATTAAGAATTATATATTGGTGTTTATTCAGTAGTAATCACATAAAAACAACTTTTTGTCATTTCTTAAGTGATTAGATGTTGCACAGTGCTTGCATTTCTAATTACAATCAGTCTGTAAAAGCTGAAATCCCAATTTCTACAATATATGCTA